TGACCTGAATGGAATTCAATTCTAGTAAACAGCATTTTGCGCCTCAAGCCAATCCAATGAACTAAATAAACGACCTCAAGTTTGTGTTAAATCCTTCAATCCTCAACCTTGCATCAGATATGCGACCTACTGTGAAAAACTCAAAATTAGAAATTTTTTTAAAACCCAAGGAAAGCTTGCATTTAGTGTTGGGCGCATATCTCTGAGTGAAAACGAATCTGATTAAATCTCTTAATTATAATTCAGTTAATTGTAACATCTGACTAATTACTTACACAAAAAGGTTAACTACTAACTATTATAACTTTCAGAATTTCTCTTCGGCGTCGCCTACTGTACAGCTGCCGTTTTAATTTTCCTAGTTTAACCAGATTGTTATAAAAATGACGCCGATAGAATGTTTGAATCGGGCGTTTGACGCTGCACCCCGAAAGGAACTTCTATCAGCTTTTACTAGTTAGACCGGCGGTTATTGCATACAATCGCTGGAAATCTGTTTTTTTTGGCCGATTAATCCTTCTCTTCCAATGCCCATTAAAACAGCCTAGAGTTGCAGTTTCCCCTTTCCTCCGAATTGCCAAAAAATTCATTTCCTAAAACTCGTACATGTTTTGAATTATCCTGGATAAAATAATTTTAAGTCTTTTAATGAACAGTATTTATTAGAAAATAGAATAATACACAAATCTTCCCCTTAAAAGCGGACCCAACTTTCAGCAGTGTGCTTAGATAGAAAAGACTCGAAGGATGTGTCCTCATCACGAGTACTTTAAACATTTGCTTAAGGGCATCCGAGCGACCCGAATTTCTGCTTTACTGGCTAATTAACCAGCTACACCGTAGGTGAGAAGAATACGACTCGATCGCTGGGACAGTACTTTTATTCGCCTTCTTCGTCTTCTTCTCAGTTACTGCCTGAGACTCGCATGTTCGCTTGTATTACACCGTAGGGGACAATTGCGGGTTTTAAATTGCACTAGAGCGTTTATCTTCCAAGTGAAGCTTTTTCCCCGGTAAAAACTGGACGCCTAACAACAAAATCAAAAAAATACACAAAGCCTGCTTCTTTATTTCAAAGTCCAACCTTAAGTATATTACCGAAGCGTTTTCCTAAATATCGGCGTCTTCTGCTATGACAGCGTATCCTTGGCCTACACATAGTCTATAAGCAGTCATCTTCAAAACGTTATGAGGATCACTGTGGTCTGGTTCACCATTCCACCTTCTCAGATAACGATTCGAGGCTTGGTAAAACCGGTGTAGACGATGACCAATTATATAATCTGACCGCAGAACAGTCTTTAGAGGACCCTTTTACCTTTGACTTATAACAATAAATTACTCTTACTTTTTCAGTAATCCGACTGACAGAGGTTTCGTGGATATTGGTCTTGGTTACAAGAAGCTCTAGGTTTCTGCCTTAGGGGAACTGTGAGAATGGGGTTTTTATGGGTGGGGAAAACGGATTGACGAAAAAAGGCATTTGTAAAAATAAGTACAAAAAGTCGTAAAATTTTGTTGAAAGAGTTTAATGGGGCGACTATACAGCGACGGCATTGGGCGCGTAAATAGAAAAAAGGTGCGAAAAACAAATCGTTCTCGAATCGAGCTCGAATTGATGTCGACAAACCTGAAAATGTGGAGTTTTATTCCAAAGACGTTTCCTTTTTCCCAAAGCTCAGTACTAATGGACTTTTTTGAAGACTTTTTGTAATGTTAAGCGTTTATTATTAATAGTAGGTAAATCTGTTTAAAATGATTACTGTACAAATGCATAAAATAGTCATATGTAATGTTTAATATTAAAATTCTAAAGTTCCTGTGACTGGCTGTTGTTAACAACCGGCTGTGTTGTGGCCGGTCTACTTGAGGGCTAAATTGAGGCAACCCGTATGTCACATCTCACTCCCTGAGCTAAGATACGTGGATGCATCGTTGGCGGGGGTGTTCGTTGACCTTGGGCGAGCTCACTGAGGAACATATTTATAATATCATCACTAACCCCTACTGGACCAACGGCGGATTCGTGTAAGTTGGAGGTTTTCACTGACCTTTGGCGAGGTCATTGAGGTCCTTTTTGGAGGGTGTTCGCTGACCCTGGGCGAGGTTATTGAGTCTCTTGTTCTTTTCTTACGAACCTAAATACTCCAGATGATGTATGCCGCTGTCCATTTTCTTGCGTTAAGGTGTCTTCCCTCTGTTAAACCGCAACGGCACGAAAAGTATTTTCATGCAGTCATCAGCTACGCACCCTAAGCAAAATGCTAATCACGATTATGTTATGGTAACTAATGTCAACTGAAGTGGTCTTACGTTAAGTCGAAGGCTATGGCACTTCTACAGAAACGATCGTATGGTGAGGATAATAGGAAAGGAAATCCAAGAGAAAAGCTGCAACTGCGCGATTGCGTGCTGCAGACCAGAATCTTGTAGCAGCTTTGCCAAGCCATTTAGGTTCCTAATAAATAGGACTACTGCACTGAGTCAAGTCAAAAACCACTGAGCAAATAAAAACTACGCCAACTGAAATGCATTGAGTAAGCATATCATTATCTTGTAAAATTCGGGCGCTACCAAGAGAATCTCCGCCATCCGACTTTCCCTTTTATCGTTTAACTCAGCCAATATAAAGTCAAATTTCCCCTTTTTCGCTAAATTCCGCCAATGTAAGGTTGAATTTCTCTTAATAGGCATCAGCTGCCTGGGCAACAGGAGTTTGTTTTGATAGATTTGATTCTACTCTATTTTGCATATTGAAAAAATATAGGTTTCCTTAGTTTAATATTTTTTGATCGATTCCAACACACTCCTTAACCAAGAATTAACTGTTTGACCACAAATTACGTTAGACAGTTGGGCTGGGAATGGATATTTAGGTGGCTCTACAAGACAGTTTTGCCAAACTAACAGGTGGGTGGGCACGACTTGGGAACTCAAGGTCTCCTCGAGAATATTCTTTGAATGTCCTATCTTTGCTGAAAAAAAACATTAAGCTATAATATTTCCAGGAGATCGCTAAAGGAAATGGTCGGATCTACTAAAATAAGACTAGGCGCACATAATGAAATATAAGCAGCACACGTTACTTACTGATTCGGTGATTCATGTCTAGGATATGCCAGTCCTCGTACTTTTGTGGAATTTGGTCGCCAGCTAACAGCGGTATAGTGCCGTGTACCCAACAGTAATTCTCCAAGAATTTGTCGAAATCTGATCCAGAGGGCGTTGTAGGGATGTAGCAGGATATAGAAGCCAGGAGATATTGCTTAACCGCGATAATTGTTGTGCAGAGAAGCAGGATAACGACGGAGTACATGAAGCTCATCTTGTCGGCAAAATCCTCAACGCCGAGGAATTCTGACACCTGAAGCTTCTTCAGGTAGTCAATGAATTCTACTCCGACCATCTTGATGGCCTATTCAGTCAAAGGTCGGGCTAACTTGGGGAAAAAAATAAATATGGTAACAGGCTTTGACAGACGCCATTATTATTAAATATGGTTTCCTGCCTAATCAAACGCATAGGTAGAGCAGTGTAAAGGATGGTCTTCTCGTTGTCGGATCATAGCTTTCTGCGCTTATTATAGCTCGAGCAGTTTGATACGAAATCGTGGATGCTTCGAAGAGAACCTGTTCAGAGTACTA